CCAGCCCCACCAAATGGGGTAAAGTCCTTCTGAACCATGAGAGATCAATGATGTGGCCTATACCTCTGTTTTGTTTTGGCTCCATTGCCAGATTTCCCCCCCAAAAGCTGGGGAGGGATGCAGGTGTGAGAGCAGGAGGGTGGGGGCATTTGAGAAAATCTGAGCCCCTCCTTGCCTCCAGCCTGACCCTGTCCCACGGGCCCATCTCACACACCAACTGGGAAGCCCCATCAGGGATGCTGGGATGGATCTGGCCAGAAGGAAACTCAATAGCGTGGGTAATTATCCAATTTATGAGGCTCTCAAATGGAGTTTCCAGAGCACGGGAGCCTGGTGCCTCCATAGCCCTGTCCCACGTGGCACAGCCTCTGCCGGCACCTCCGCCACGACTGGCCTTGGCCCAGCCCTCATCCCCTCACAGCAGGGCTCTGCACCTGCACAGCTCTCCCCTGGTGCTTCCTTCTGACTGGTGTCACCCTCAGGGAGCAGCAGATTTATAGGGAGAAAGTCACCAAACTGAACTAAAAGTGCTACACACTATGGAGAATAAGCCCATATTGACACCCAGTTTTTTTCTGTCCCCCCAAATCACCCTGGTTTTGCTCTGCTTGTACAGAGCCTCAGAGATCCCCATCTCAAAAAGGTTCCTGCAGGCTCCCAGGACAAAGATTCTGAAGCTGGGGAGAAGGCCAGACTCCATACAGGTGACTCCACGAGGTGCCTCACGGCCCAGGATGCTCATGCCATGCAATGTCAACGCCGCATGCCCTGGCCCTGGTGTGGTGGATGCTGGCTCAAAACTCCGCTGTGCCAGAGCATGCCCTGCATGGGACTCTGCCGTGGTGAGTGAGTGAGGGCATCAGCCCCGCTGCACCAGGCTGCTGTGAGAGGAAACTTCTGCTCTTCCACAGCGCTGCCAGTTTCCTCTCTGTGGGCTAATTTTAACCACCATGTCGCTGTGGTGCGTGTCAGAAACCCGACCCTCCTCTGACCTTCAACCTCCCACCCCGGCTACTGCCAGAGCAAGGCACCCTCGTGCACCAGCAGCTGGGGCTGCCTCTGTTTGAAGGTATCCCTCTGGGACCCTATGTCCCTCTGTACCTGGTGGAGGTACAGGTACAGAGGGACCTGTACAGGTGGAGGGGGAAGAGAAGCCCCTTCCTCCCTGTGGATGCAGTTGCTGCTGTGGAGAGGTGGTGCGAACAGGGTGAACACAAGAATTAATATTTTAGGGAGAAATGGACCCACAATCACTGATGCTGCTCCTAAAATATGTGTTCTATAGGACTAAAGTGAGCAAAGGACAAGACGACACAGGCTTAGCAGCCCCAGGAACAGGTTGGGCTGCTGGGGATGCTCTTTACCTGGACAGCCCTTTGCTGCTTGTGACATCCAGCCAGGAGTAATCCCTGCAAGTGTCATCACAGGAACATTCCCATCCTCCTGGCTCTCCTTTAGGAATGACTGCGTGTAGAGGAAAGTCAGAAGGAAAGAAACCAAGAGCACAGTGGGAATGACTGTCATGGGAAACATCCCTCCTGAGAACTCTGGGCTGCAGCAGCCCTGGGGGAAGTGGTGGAAACCTCACCACCAGCTTCACCCCCATCTTGACGGGCTGATGCCACGGAGACCCAGCTTGACTCACATGGGGTGACTTCAGCTCAGGGATTTTCCAGTCTGGGTATCTGCAGTTCTGTTATGCCCTGGCTGCTTGACGAGTGGAGCACCCACCACCACCATCCACATGTTGTGGGATGCCAGGATGTGGCTGACGGCAGCAGCATTTGGGGAAGGGGATGCAGGAACTGCCTGTCTAGGTGAGGAAGAGCTAGGCACCCCATCCTGACACCATTCTGAGGCATTTTTCAGGACACTTCTAGAAATAAAAGCCATCACATCCAGTTTAGGACCCATGAGGTTTGCAGGAGGGGCTGGCTGCTGACACAGCTGCAGCACAGTCATCACTGCACAGCAGAGGCTTAAATCTGAGCCTTCTGGACTGGGAATGATCAAGCATACTGCAGAAGAGCTCCCTTCACCCATGGCTGGAGCTGGGGACAAGGGCAGGTGGGATCGTTCCTTGCTTCCCTGAAGAAGAAACCAGTAGGAAACACCAGATTTCCTGCCAAGCCAGCACAGCAATGCTTAAATCCAGCTCATCTGCTGGGGAGAAAAGAGCCCAACCAAAGGCCCATGACATAATGCCACAGCAACTCATCTCATGAACACATTTTTCCAGCCCTCATGAATGAAAAACAGGGAAGGAGAAAATGCTCTGCACATCCCTGTCACGTGCAGCCCGGCTTGAGGAGGACGCGGCAGAGCCCTGGGCTGCCGGCAGCCCGGCCGGCCCCGCCACGGGGCAGCACAGCCTCGGCAGTGCTGGGAAAGAAGTGACCTGTGACTGGCACCCAAGTCTCTCTTGAACAGCAGAGACAACCTTGCGTGCCACAGAGCGACCAACTTTGGTCAGAAACTTCCTGTTTCGGAGTGGAAACACGAGCACCCACGGCAGCGCCGGGATAACTCACGTGGTGATCCCAGCACAGCATGGTGAGGACACCAGGAGCTGTGCCCACCCTCCCTGAAGGAATGGGAGTGCAAAATGGCACGGGGTCGATGTGTTTGGTGATGTGGCAGCAGACAGCCTGGCCCCAGCGGGGAATAGAACCCTTCCCCCTCCCACCGCGCAGTGAGACAGCAGGAACCGAAAGCCTGGCTTCAAGTCATCGCTGGGTATGAAAATAGGCCTGACACGCACACAGCCACTCTCAAAGGAAAACCGAAACCGAGAATTGCTGAAGTGGTCTGGTGCCCCCGTCCGTGACCCGAGCTCAGTTCCCCAGAGGCATCGCCGAGCCCCTCGCCACCGCGGTGCCTCTCGGCGACACGTGGCCATGGGACCGAGGTGGCTTCGGCTGCAGCAGCCCTGATTGCCAGCCTGATCTCATCAGGGCTGAAGGGCAGAGGTTTCCAACCTCCTGCTCCATCAGACAGGCTCACCACCAGCTCCAGCACCAGCCACCCACCGGGGACTGGCAGCTGCTTGGCCACACTGATGAGGCTCATTAGCCGAGTGCTAATTCATGGGTCATGCATTAACATAGTGATCATTGAGTAAGACACAGCAGGACACACATTAACACACACTAACTGCCTGCAGAGACCCACTGGGCTGCACATTAACTGTACCAGCTGCTGTGTTTACAGAGACACTCTGCAGTGCCAGTGCCACCAGGACCCTGTGTGTGTCACTTGTGTGAGCAGTTGAATGACGGGTCCTCAGGTCTAATGAAGCTGACCCCCTCTATGGTCTCTGCTGTATTTCTCCCTCCAGATAAACGAGACAGAAGGAAAAAGCTTCCCCAAGTGCTGTGGAGGGCAGAGGACTGCCACACCTGGACGAAAGAAGACGCAGCCTTGAACATCAGCACGTGTCCTCCAGGAGATTTAAGGGGAGGGAAGGGTCTCGCTCCGAGAGCTGTGAGCGCTGTGCCTGAGGGGACACCTGCACCTGGTGCTGGCAGGGTGACACCACCAGAAACCAGTCACGGTCTCACTTTGGGTCAGAGGAGTGCCTGGAGCCGGGGGACAGCCCCTCGGCCCCCAGCCCCGCTGCTCCGCACACGGCTCTCCCGCAGCTCAGCAAATCGCTGTCACACCCTCCGCCGCCTTCAATCAACTTTTACAACTTGTTAATTTTACGCAGCGTCCTAAAGAGCAAA